CTTATTTTGAAGAACCACGAGAGAGCGAGTCCACGATAAATGAACCGCGAAGTAGCGAGGGACTACTGTACAAATGATCTTTAATAAATCCCACGATTCCTTTAAGAGACAAGTACCTTTGGAGACTCCAGGATGTTGTGTGGTTCTGGTCCGAGTACTGTCCTGAGATTTACGAGCAGCTGGGCCTTCTGCAGCTTGCTGTGCGTCTCTGCTCAGCCTGGCTGATGATGTGGGTGTGGAGGTGTTCTTGTCTGGAACCTCCCTGGAGGGGCTCTGAGACTGTGGGTCACGAGGAGAGCCCTGCCTCTCTGGGAGTGAGGCCTCAGCTGTTGGATCAGAAGCTGTCCTGCTCTGAAGCGAAGGTGCTTCTGGCTTCAGGAAGCTGAGCTTACAGCATTTAGGGGGTGTTATGGAGGTAGTTTCTGATGACACCGGACTGGTTTTAGGAGGAACTTTTCTCTTCAGGATTCCAGTCTGGTTCTGAGAGAACCCCGTTTCAGCTGAGTGCTGAACCTGTTCACATACTTCCTGTTTTCGAAGGCGTTTCTCTCGCATGATCTCCTCAAAGCTCTTGACCTTGATGCTGGTCGTGGTCTGGAGAGACAAGAGTGTCCAACAGTCAGCGATGAACCGACCCCAGTCCAATCCAGCTGGATCAAACCCACACCACCTACCTGAGGCGCAGCGGCTGGACATTTCTTCTCCGTCACATCAACACTTTGATCTGAGGTGACGTCACCTGTCAGGAGGTCAAAGACAAGGTTAAAAGGATTCAGCTGGATGGTAGTCTGCTGCACGTTTCTTCTGCTTACTTTGGCTCGGCAGCTTCTTGATGTACAGCAGACGTTGTCTCTGGGGAACACTTTGAGCATCGGAGCTCTTCTCGGATTCAGACGGCACGGCCTGCTGAGCCTGGAGTCTAGCTGCCTTCTCCCTGCGGATCTCTTCAAGGGTCTTAACCCGAACCTTCTCCACATTGTTGGGCTTTGGATGAGGAGGGGCAGGGTCTGGTTCCTCCTGGTTCCTGCCTGGAGCATCCATCCCCGTCTGCTCAACCTTCTTTACGACGGGCTGCTGTTCGTCCTGCTGTCTCTTCTTTGCCTGCAGGATATCTGAGGTTTTTCCATCTTTCACAGTCACCACTCGTTTGGTGCATTTCATGGCTTTACTGGTTTGGGAGGTGTTCTGAGTAATAACCAAAGAGGAATCTTTCTGGTTCTGAGACTTGGCCGCCTTCTCTTGTTTGATCTCCTCTAGAGTCTTGATGTGGATCAGCTCAGGAACTTCATCAGTGTCAGCTGTAAAACGAGTCAGAGAAAGGTTTGAACCAACACTTCGGTACGTTCTACATTTAATGTGGAAAATGGAAGCTCTTACTTGGCTGAGTGATTGCAGCAAGACCAGCAGGTGATCCGAGTCTTTCCTTTAAGGTTTTCAAAGCTGGAGAAACAAGAAACAATAAAAACATGTTGGCTGACTGAACACAATATGCCTCTCTGTGTCCTCACTGAGCTGCGACTGCTGGAGACTCAAAGTTGTGAGAAAAATGTCAATTTTCCAGTTCGGTCTGAACTCTGAGGGTTTGTGAGCCAGAGACCAACCTGTGGGGCCAGTTTCTGAATCTCAGCATATTCTTGATGTGCACAGCATCACATGCAAAGCAGAACTATGTTTGTGCACCCATTCACTCGGTGGTTCCTCCAGTCCTGTCAGCAGAGTGTTGGTGTTTGGACAGAACAACCTCTTTCTTTCACTTCTGATTTTGTTCTTTCAGCTTTTGTAAAGTTTCTCTTTAAACGCCGGCAGATTCTGTAGTCATGAACCCCCTCTGCCAACAATTTTACTCAAAATTCAGTTTTAGCTTGTTGTGTACTTTATGTATCTACAGCCGTGTTACAAGCTAGTTCCTGTGCAGTAGGGCGGGGCCACATCATATCATTCACGATAATACAGGTAAAAAACTTGTCTGGGAAAATAAATTAGATCATGATATGCTAATTTCATGGAGTAAATACGTCATCCCACCATGCAGCGGATTACGCTCACGTGGGCGATATTCAAGTTGTAAAAATGAAATGGTAAATGGACTGTACTTATATAGCGCCTTTCTATATGATCAAGATGCTCAAAGCTCTTTACAACAATCTGTGCCTCATTTACCCATTCATACAGCTCTATACTAGATCTCTACAAAACTAACTGAACAAATAATTCTAATGAGAATAATCAGAGCTTTATCACATTCATACACTGATGGGACACACATCAGAGGCTATGAGGGGTTCAGTGTCTTGTCCAGCAACACTTTGACATGTGACTGCTGGTGGATTTGAACCCCCAACTCTCGCATTGGCTGACGACTGCGCTAACCACTCAGCCACAGCCGCCCATGTCCAGAGTTATTCTGAAATGTTACAAACACAACAGTTTGTGCAAACAGGGCTTGACTGGAATCATTTATTCTTAATAGGTTCTTAAAAAATGCTACATATTCGTTAATAGTATATAATAGCATATTTTGAAGGAATGCTACAAATGTGTTCATTCCTACAAAACAGTTAATAAAATATTTATAAAATACACTGAATTTCAAATGTTAGATTGAGTTTAACGTAAAAGAAATAGTGTTTCATGTTTATATCAGTTAATAAGTCATCCATTATGCACCTTTGTTTAGGACTGGAGCCAACCCCAGCTGCTTTTGGGTGAAGGCAGGGGACAGCCAGGACAGGTCTCCAGTCCATCGCAGAGACAGACAAAGAGACTAACAACCATCCACAGTCCCAGTCACAGCTAGGAACAATTTACAGTTGCACAGAAGAGTGTCACTGGTTTGCAACTGTTCTTTTGCACTAGAAATGTGTTTATTTTTATGTAAGAAAACTGCTTGGAATGGGAAAATACCCAAGTAAAAAAATAAAACTCTAGATTTGTACTGTAATGTGTAAAGTAATTTTCTTCTTGTTAGAATTAATATTAATTATAAAACTGGTACTGAAAAAAGTACCGATCAGGAACCAACACCCAAGTGAAGGTACCGGTACCAATTTTTTTAGAAAGGTGCTCAGCCCTACCCGAGTCTGTGCACTATATTAACAAGAACTGTGCAGCTCAAACTCTAGACCAGCTACTTTCCTGATGATCAGAATTGGCTGAAGGCTGTTCTGCCAACGATCAGCAGTCTTTCAGGAAGCATTTCATTTGTTTTCAGCAAATGTCACAAGTTTTGGAAATTCGCTGCTTCGTCTTTAAAAGTCATTTCAGATCCTACAATGTTCCGGGGGAAGACAGAGCTTCACAAGAGCAGTTGTTTACAAGTAGTGTAAAATAAAATTGTGATACAGTATTTTGGATATAAGACAAAATGCACAGAAGATGAAAGCGAAGCAGCCGACCAGTGAACTCTGCAACAAACTTCCAGTCTTCCCAAAGGCTGTGAAGAGTTCCCTCTCCATCTCCTGCTGCATCACAAAGGATTTATGATCAGACAGCTCAGTGAAAGTGACGGGTTTAGATTTATTTTTATTACGATGGACCAAATGTACATTATTCCTTCATGTAGATTTTTTTTTTCGTTTTTTTGCGATAAAGCAGCACCACAACTTTACCATGAAACAAATGTTAGAAGCTCTGATGCAGCTGCAGCTCAAAGGTAACTGTTATTTCTCATATTAAACTAAAACTTATAGACAAGTTATAAAACAAACTTAATGTAATTTGTCTTTTTAACAGGTTGAAGAGGCCAGATGAGACACATCACCTGGAGCCAGTTCTAAATGACACAGTTTATGGTTTAAAAATTATAGTTCAGAAGAGATGTTTGTGCAGATTTGCACAGGTTTTGAAATTTTGTCAAAGATTTACTAAATATGAATCAATATGGTTAAGACTGAAGTCAGTATATTTCATATTAGGTTAAGTTTTGAAAATACAACAAATGTTAGAGAAATATGGTTAAAAATAACTGTGAAGTCTGTATTTTATTTTGATTTAAAGGTTAATGTACTATGTCTGGTAGGATGAAGTCGGTTTACTTTTATATTTTGAATTATTTGTCTGTGATGGACTGGAGACCTGTCCAGGTGTCCCCCACCTCTCACACAGTGATGGCTGATATGGGCACCAGTGATACCAGTGACTCGTAAAGGAAGAAGTGGATGAAGATGATGGATGAATTATTTGTTCCT